TAATCTGCACAGAAAAGAACAATGAACACAATGATCAGAAAATCGAATAAAACAATAAGTGGGAATGAGCTTATCGAATAGATTTTTTGGTTTTGGCCGCCGCGATTTTGCCAGACTTTGCCCACAGTTTTTGGCTCACCCGCCATCCCTCTTGCTCCAATATGGCCACAAGGATGCTCGAAATTGAATTTCGAGCAGGTAGGGGAAAATTTTATCTTTTTTGGCAGTCGGTGGTCGGCCTTCTTCTCCAGCACCTGGTTCTTCTTCTCCGGCGGGGGCTAGCGGCTAAGGTTTGGGTTCCCCTGCAACGCAAGGTATTTATACCTATCCCACATCGATCTAGATCGTTCATCGCGATTGATCTCGTCCGTTTAATCGCGCCTAAGAAGGGAACTAATCTAAACCGTTCATTGTGATTGATCTCGTCTGTCTGATCGCACTTAAGGAGAAAACGAATATAAGCTGTTCACGCGTGCGGGAGTGAACTTAGGCCATCGAATTGCTGGGCATGCAAATTGCCCACGTGGCCTCCCGTGCGGCCCCGATGTCAGCATTTTTTGACACGCGGCGTGTTCCGGTTCGTCAGGGCTACTAACTGGGTCATCCCACGTGGCCGAATTTTCTCTTTTTGCACTTTGACCCTATTATTTTAATTTTTTTTTCAAAAATACCTTCCGAACTCAAAGTTTCACCCATTTTTTCCTAAAATTATTTTCAATCTCGTCTCCAATCCATTTTTTCTCAAAATTTCAATAAAATAAAACTAAAATACATTAATTAATTATTTTAATAAAATAATTTCATAAGAAAATTTATCCCGAATCGCTTTTTGGGTCCAGGTATTACAACTTTTCTCCCTTAAAAAAATTTAGTCCATCAAATTGGTCACTCTCTTACTTAGTCAAACAGTTGGGGATTACTGAACCCTGAAGCTTGATTCCAGTTCCCAATAGGCTTCTTCCTGCGTATGGTTCTGTCATAAGACCTTGACGAATGGAATTTTTTGGTTGCGAAGTACTCTACTCTTTCATTCTACAATGCCTACCGATACCTCCTCATAGGATAAATCTTCTTGGAGTGAAAAGAACTCGTGGGACAAGATATGTGAGAAGTTCGGGTTGTATTTACGTAATATGGATACGTGGAACACATTATGAATCCTGAATAGCTCTGGAGGTAGTATCAGTCTGTAAGTGGTCGTACAAATCCAGTGTAAGATCTCAAATGGTCCGATGAACCGGGAATTTAATTTCTCCTTCTTGCCAAACCTACTGATCCCCTTAAAATGAGTGACCTTAAGAAATAGTCGATCACTTTTTTTAAATTCCAAATCCCTTCTCCGAGTATCTACATAACTCTTCTGCCTATTCTGAGCTGTCTGGATGTTTTTTCTGATCTTAACTATCTTGATTGTAGTCTCCTCCACAAGATCTAGGCTGAATAATTTTCTATCACCCACCTCTTCCCAATAGATCGACGACTTGCAGGGACGGCCATACAATGCCTCGTACGAAGCCATGCTGATACTTGCATGGTAGCTGTTATTGTAGACAAACTCTATTAAAGGTAGGTAATCATCCCAATGGCCCTTGAACTCTAGAACACAAGCTCGGGACATATCCTTCAGTGTGCGAATCATCCTATTTGATTGTCCATCAGTTTGAGAGTGAAATGTAGTATAAAGGGACAGTTTCATTCCCATTGTTTGCTAAAAACTAGATCAAAACCGAGAAGTGAACCTAGGGTCTCTGTTGGATACCATTGTCACTAGAACTCCATGTAACCTGACTATCTCCCAAATATACATTCTTGCTAACTTTTTTAATGGGTTGGTCATCTTGATAGCCAAGAAATGAGAAGACTTGGTGAGTCGGTCAATAATTACCCAAATGACATCATGTCTTGAGCGTGTCTTAGGCAATCTTGTCATGAAATCCATTATGATATGTTCCCACTTCCACTCCGAAATCGGTAATGGTTGAAATAGCCCGTCTGGGCATTGATGCTCTGCCTTAACATGTTGACATTCTAGAGACCTAGAAACAAAGTCGGGTACCTCTCTTTTCATCCCACTCAACCAAAATCGGGGTCGCATACATTGATTCATTTTAGTACTTCTAAAATGCATTGCAAATTTTGAGCTATGTGTCCCTGTTATGATGTCCTTTTTTAGTTCACTGTCATATAGAATACACATGTTATCCTGGAATCTAAGCAACCCATTGGCAGATACTCAGAATTCTGGATTTACTCCCTATTCTGCATCCTTCCTAAGAGTTGTTAAAGTAGAATCGGTGGATTGGGCTTGCTTTA